GCTGAAAATAAAAAGATCTTGGATTTTTATTTATTTATTATAATAACCAAATTTATACATAAAAAGTATAACATTGAGAAATGAAAGCAACACCAGGCTTTCATATACTGACAATTGGGATTGCTACGGCCAAATTATTATTATAAAAATACTTTTTAAAGAGTTTTCTGTACGTACATCAACAATGTTCTGCGCCTCCAAACCTTTTACGGCTTCCAGCACGGTTTTTAAAAAACAAGTCATTTTTTATATGCTGAATTTAATGAGAAAGTGTAAAAAAAAATAAAAAGGAAGGATGTATTTGTAAAATAAATTAAACAATGTTTAAAAATATTGCGCGTTGCTGGACAAGAGCAATTTCTGGTTTGAGAAGCAATAACCAGGTTTGCGTACAATATAGATGTAATTTAATATACAGCTTTTACAGTTTTTTTTCATAACTGAAAAGCTCCAACACTAAAAACGTCTTCTTGAGAAAACCAAAGCATTTAATTGCCAACCTGACCATCAATGTCAGCCATGGTATTGTTATCTAGTTCGACAACCAACTTGCATTACTTTGCACTTTTCAAAGTTGAAATTCACAAAACAGCTTTAAGGCTAATTTACAGCACTGTCTGTCTGTTTTCGGTTTTTCATAATTAGAGGAAAATTGATTGACATCAATAACTTATATAATCCCAGTGGGCACGGGACGTAAAAAAGACGTCCTTTGGACGTTCAACTAGCTTCCGTCCGTCCCATTTAAATTCTAAACGTCTTTTGAACATCTTTTTCACGTCCAATAAATTTTTCGTCTAAAAAAGATCCAGAATGATTTATTAAACCAAAATTAATTAAGTTAAATCACACAATTATCAAGACATATGTATATATATATATATATATATAATATATATATATATATATATATATATATATATATATATATATATATATATATATATATATATATATATATATATATATATATATATATATATATATATATATATATATTAGGTATATGACAAAAAAACTTTTTTTAAAATTTTTATTTTCCTGATGTTGCATTTGATGAACTTTTACCAATAGATCACTGTTTTGAGGTTTATTTCATTGGATCACAAAAAAACCTCCCGCACCTAGCACCTCACCACTTTTAACTTTTTCGATTTTTCACTTGATTTTGTTCCCAGTTCTTACTTCCTTTGCTTGACTATGCTTGAATATAACTGCAAGTTGACTGTGGTGACTCAGAGGCAGTTCCAGGAGAATCTCGCAGAAAGCGTGCAACACGCCAGTCAACTAAATCTGCTGAAACTCTGCTACCACTGAAATTTTCTTTTCAGTAGTAGCAGAGTATGAGAACCTTGGCTGGAGAGATGACTTTAAATTTCTTTTTCAGCTTTGTAAAGCATACAAGTTTTACAAAAATGAGGAAAAATGGCCTCGTATCATATGGCAAAAACTGCCATCACTGCACAGTGTTAGGTGGAACTCAAGAGGCATTTTTGCACTTATTGCATTTTTCATTCTTCCAAACTGGCGAGAACAGCTGAGGATAACTTGCGATTTCGTTGCAACTACATGGTCATGGGCCTGGTTTTCAAACTTGCACTATGCAAAGGTGGCTTATGAAGACTTGCTGTCAGCAATATCCCAACTTAAGTGTTCCAAAGCTGTGAAATGCTTCTCTACCCACTGGAAAAAGGAACCATCAGTGCTTGATGTGCCTCGAACTAACATAGTAGCCGAGAGGGGTGTAAAGTTGATGGGGGACATTCGTTCTTCTTGCAGAACAAACAAACATCTTAACTGTAAACTTATTAATACTAATACAAAATCTGAAAGATTATTAACATCACTACAAATGCTGTAGTGTATTTCTCATGTATTTCTCATGTGTATTGTATATAAAGTTGACATATTATAACTAATAACCTTTGGGCTGCTATGTGTTGTATGGTTAAATATGAAACTGTCTTAGGTGCGGGAAGTTTTTTCAAGATATGGTGAAATCAATGTCATTTCTGTGATTTACAGGCAAAAGTTTATCATTTAAAACCCCAGGCTAATTGATTTAAAATTTATCATATACCTAATATATATGTATATATATATATATATATATATATATATATATATATATATATATATATATATATATTATATATATATATATATATATATAAAAAGACGTCTTAATTACGTCCTAAAAGGTCGTCATCTGGCGTTGCCAATTACAACTAGTTCTGGACGTCCTAAAAAAACGTCTTTTCGACGTCATATGGACGTTGCCGTGTCCGCTGAGATATTGCTACCATTGCCTTATGACTTGGTAAAGTTTTAAAAGTAGTCTGGTAAGTCATTGATTGAAAAATGAAATAGCAATTATGCAAGAACTGATCCATGAGGAAAAATACTTGTCACCTAAATCTAATCAGATGTATAACCAACCTGTGATCCAGTAAATTAACTGGGCTCAAATACCATAGGCATGAATGAGTCTTATGAAGAAGTACTTGTGTGATAATGTGTTGAATGGTTTGGTAAAATAGGTAAATTTTTTTTTACTTGGTGTCCACGGTAAACTGCTTTTATTAAAATGTTACGGGACTCAATCAGATTCATACCACAGTCTCAACAAATCCATGTTGAGACTTGAATTTGATATCAGAATATACTCAGCATTTTATAACCCTATCTATAATAATTCTCTATGTCACCTTGCCATTAATAGGTGAGTGACACAAGCTTGCACTTATAAACCTTGAATTTTTTTTCTTTGGATTTTTTGAGGGTTGGCGTGACATTTAACTTGCATTGAGGCTTTAACACTACTTAGGGAGTAGTTAAACCTTAAAAAATAAAGGTTTTTTTTTTGTTTGTTTTTTTTGCTATTTAAACTCTCAGAACAATAATAATAATAAAAATCTTAATAATATTAATTAAATAATAATTATATATATATATATATAATATATATATATATATATATATATATACATATATATATATATATAATATATATATATATATATATATATATATATATATATATATATATATATATATATATATATATAATATATATATATATATATATATATATATATTTATATATATATATATATATATTAATATATATATATATATATATATATATATATATATATATATATATATATATATATATATATATATATATATATATATATATATATATATATATATATATATATATATATATATATATATATATATATATATGTATATATATATATATATATATATATATATATATATATATATATATATATATATATATATATATATATATATATATATATATATATATATATATATATATGTATAACCGCCCCCGTAACGCTTGGAATAATGTTATATGAAAATAAAAACGAAATATGTTTTTTTAGCAGTTTATTTCAATAACCACATCATTAAGCTTTAAATTGATGCATTTAAGAAAAAATTAAACAGGTTTTGAAAATGTTATTACACAAAAATTACACTTAGTGAAAAAAACGGTTTTGATCCCATTGTGAGGCACAACCGCACCCTCAAAAAAATCGATGGGGCTACACCTTTCATGGTACATTTTTTTTATAATTTTCACAGCTCAGATGATTTGATGATTTTGTTGCATGTTTGCATATTGTGCAGGCATTCTTTGTGTTTACATTTTGAGTTCTGCCCCAGAAGAAAGTTCTTACCCAGAAGAGAGTTTTTAGAAAGAATTCAGTTTCATAGATTAATTATTAGATTACGGTATTATCAAAAATGACTTTCACTTCATGAAGTAATGCTGATAACACATATTTTTAACACTAAAACTAAATATTGCTTAATTCTCAAAAAGAAGGTCAGGAAAAATATGATGTAAACATAATATTTTTATCAAAATAAAAATTATTATTCACAACTTCTCAGAAACTTAACAGTCACTCTTTTTGACATATGCAAAATGAAGGAAACTGTTTTACTAACGCGTGGTATGTTTTTTGCTATTTTAGATAACATTTTTTGAAGAGAAATGTTAAAACATAATTTATACATATATATATATATATATATATATATATATATATATATATATATATATATATATATATATATATATATATATATATATATATATATATATATATATATATATATATATATATAAATAATTTTTATATATATATAAATATATATGTAATAATTTTATACTTTATAAAGTAAGTTTAACTTAGTTTCACCCCTTTAAATTTATATAATTGATAATACATCCAAATTTTAAACTACAAAAAATTTATAACTATAAACAATGAAATAAAAAAAACTTTTTTTCTTATTTGAAAATTTATTCAAAATAAGGATTTTTTTAATAATATATAAATACGGAGTTTTTTAACGTTTAAAGAAATACGCTTCAGTGGGAAAAAAGATATCTTTAGACGAATAAAAGACGTCTTTTTTATGACTTGTATGCCTTTTTATAATTAGCCTGAATAAAGACGTGGAAAAGACGTCTTTTAAAAAGACGTCTTCAAAAAAGAGGTCGAAAAGACGTCAATTGGTTGTATGTCTTTAATAAGACGTAAAAAAAAAGTCTTTTATATCGATGACCTTTAAAAAAAAGAAATGACAAAATTTTCATTTAAATGTTAAATTAAACAACACCCAGTAAAAGTTTTTTTTTTAGGGAGGGGGAGGGGAAAATTTACTAACGTTTACAACTAGGACATAACTTAAGTTGTTTAAAATAAACAACTTAACTAAATAAGCAAATCATAATTTGCTTCTATAATTATAATAAACAAATTGTTATTTGTTTATTAACCACTTTCGTTGTTAATAAAGAAATCATTATTTGCTAAAGAAAATTAAAAGAAACTATTGCCAATAGAACTTAACAAAGATTTTAATCCACAGTATTGTAATTACGATATCTTTGTTACGCTCCGATTAGCTTGTTTTTTGTTTACAAGATACTTTTACAAAACTTTTTTTATGTGAAACGTTTTTGCATTGAAAATTTAATTAAAAATCAACTATTTTCGGTAAGCTAGTTTATTTTATAATTTATGTAATAAAGTAATACATTATGTAAAATATACATAATATATATGCTTATATATATATTATAGTATATAGAAAAATATAGAAAAATAAAATTTGTAAACAATTTCTGTCTATACTTACTTGTTCTGGTGCCAATGAAACGAACGATAAAAAAGAAGAAGCAGTTCTATTTATTTATATTTTTAAATGATCTGAATAATTTTTTTGTTTTTATTTAGTTGAATGATGAAACTGTTTATACAAAAGATTGGCTCTTTAACTTGTTAACTGTTGTCTGTTGTTAAAAAACTAAGTGAAAAAATGCACATAATGACAACAGATTTATTTTTAGAACTGTTTGCAAAACTTGGTTTAGATACAAAAGACCAAGTGAAAATGGTACTGGAAAGGTACACTTTCTTATAACTAAACATCATTGCAGCTTTCTAGTCTTCATTTTTATTTATGAGTATTTCAGCAAAACATGGTATCACCAGTTTTTATGATTTTATGTTATTAAGTAAAGCATCATTATTATTTCAAGCTAAAACAGAGCTTTGATTAATACTTTTATCCAGTTTAAATGAATAACAACTCTCAAGGTGAACATTAGCTGAATAATCTTTTTGTTTTAACGTCAATAACGTTAACAATAACGTTTTAAAGTCAATAACGGATTTTTAGATTGTTATGAGTCTACAGCACTTAATTTCAGCGAAATTTAATTAAAAAGTCGCGTCAAAAAGACAGAAAAATATCAATATCTGTTTTCAATAACTTGGCTTTCCTAGAAAATTTGAGAGGTGCAAATGTTTAGCTTGGTTTCAGTACTACATAATAAAATACATCATTGTACAGTCATTTTGATGGTCGTAAATTTCTTTAGCACACTCATTATTATATATTTTTAGACTGTTTACTCCTGTCCCAATCTAACCTAGTGGGTTTAAAAAGAAAGGACCGTGCTGGAAAAGTTAGAGGGTTAAAAAGATTAGCTCTTTTTGAATTAATAGCCCGTAAGTTGGTAATGTGTTTCACTCAGCTAATCAATTTTCATTTGCTTTTTTGTATTACATTCAAGCAATAGACTGTTTATTATATTCACTTGTTTTTTAGAAGTCGTAACCAGCTTGTATGAAAAGATTTCCCGACGTGAAATAGTTTTATTCAACAAAATTATTTTATTCAACAACGTCAATAATCAGAGCTCGCTTGAGAAACAGGAAAGAAAGAAAAAGATGAAATAATATTCTGTTTAACAATACTGTTGTTTTATATCTCTTTATAATAATACTGGACTTAATAGTAGTAGTAGTAGTAGTAGTAGTAGTAGTAGTAGTAGTAGTAGTAGTAGTAGTAGTATTAGTAGTAGTAGTATTAGTAGTAGTAGTAGTAGTAGTAGTAGTAGTAGTAGTAGTAGTAGTAGTAGTAGTAGTAGTAGTAGTAGTAGTGCGCTTTCGAGCCTGTTTGACACGATACTCTTGGCAACCATTGCATCCGAGGTAGTGACGAGAAAGAGTCTTACCTTTGCTTTATAAGAAAACGCGAGCAAACGTGAAACTCATATTGTACGTACATAAACTTCATGTTATGTAATGTTAAAACATGCTTAAACATATATCAAGTTCAACAGTTTGATTTTCACTTAAGAACTGCATTTCGTCAACCTTTGCTTAATTTCTAATCTTTTTTGTTTTTATCCGTTAAAAAACAATTTTACATAATTTAAAATCTTCATACCACTACGTGACAGCATAGTAGAGCGGTTAGCGCGCTGGGCTTCTGACCAAGTTAGTCGTGGTTCAAGTCCTACCATCAGCGACCTTTTTTTATATTTTTTTTGCGCATGTGTCATTATTGAGATACTTATGTTATTTTAGTTAAACTTTTCAAGTTTATTTACAACTAAATTGAGCAAGGAAAATTAGTAAAAAACATGTTTATATATAGAATATAAAATCTATATAACTTTTGATTTGCATTAAACAACAAAACCGCGTGCCAAGCTAATGAACTTGCCACGCGGCGACCAAACTTTTTTTAAAAATGGTAAGGGGGATAAAAAAACGTATATTTTTATTTAGAACGTAATTAAAGATTTTAATTTTATATGTACACTAAATTATTTTATAAAATTTATTGTTTCTAAAAATAATTAAAAGTTAAACTATTTAATATTAGCATAATACCGATTTCTAATCTTTTGCATTTATATCCGTTAAAAACAATTTTTATATAATTTTGAATCTTTAGGTCTTAATACGTCAGCGTAGTCGAGTGGTTAGCGCTGGGCTTCGCCGTGGTTCTAGTCCCACCGTAGGCGTCTATGTTCTAATTTTTTTTTTAGATTTTTTTAAATACAAATTCAAATACTTATAAAGTTTTATAGATATTGTATATAGACAACATATGTAAAGATATTAATCAAAAGTTTGATCCTCGCATTTTGACACAGAACCAACTTCGCTAACGAGAGAAAAAAAATCGTTCACAAATTTCAAAATTTTGTTTTTTCGTGAAGTCTTTTAACACTTAAATTCGAACTTTCTTGACATATTCCAAGTCTTTTTGAGAAAAAACTTTGTTGATCAAATATACAAAAACAGAAACTCAGCTTTTTTGTATATGATAAATATCGCTGTGGTACAAAATGCCAACCTAGGTTTTTTAAACAAAATGCCAATCGAGTTTTACTTCCACGCGGTTTTAATCACCACGAGGCTTAGTTAAATGCTTAGTTAAATACTTAAAAAAAGATAAAATTTAAGGCTTAAAAAAAGAATTTTTTACAAATTTTTTCTTACATCTCTCTAATCCTTGACTTTTGGATTTAAATTTATTACATTGATAGTAATATTATCATAATATTATTTTTAGATTATTACATTGTTTGATATTTTTTTTAGAATTTAGATAAAAGCGACAAAAAAAGCGTCTCCCCCCTATCCTTTAGGATTTTAGAGTCACCATTAAATTTTGACATAAGTTGCAAGAAGTGTCTCGCAAATGCCATTTATGTTAAAGTTAGTGTTTACGCAATCAATAAGTTTAATCTTCGTATCTAGGACATCATTTTCAAGTATCAAGTTATCATTTAGATGTTTTCATTTGATTGAGATTATCTTGCGTTATAAACCGGATAATAGTTTTTTATGAACTGTAAGCACGCGGATAAAGTGTGCATCAATATCCTAAAGACCCGTATTTTACGGGTCATGACAGCTAGTATAAATTATTCTCTATGTTTAAAAATATAAAAAATGTAGAAAATGCTTCCTCTTTTATATTTACATCTAGAAGTGGTTTTTTTCTCGGCATCGGAAAGAGATATTTGTCATACTTTTTATGAAGAGCTGTTATCATTTTCATTTGACAAAAACAGCTTATCATATATAAAAAGTAGGAATACTATAGCGTATAGGATACTATAGTATACTAAAAAGTATGACAAAAAAGTCATTCCGACCCCAAGAAAAAACACTTTTTTAGAAAAAAAGATTTAATAAATAATGACGTCTTAAAAACGCATTGTTTACGTCTTTTTATGACAAGATAAAGACAAAAAAAAAACACCTTTTCGATGTCGAAAAAAGATGTCTTTTAGATTAGCATAAACGATTAAAAAAAGATGCCTTAAAGACATCGTTAATAACACTTTTAAAGACGTTTTTTGGGCGTTTTTTTCCCACAAGAACTCAACTATACTTTATCAACAGATAAATTTTATATTAATTAAAACAAATCTAATGATCAAATAATTAAACAGCTCCTTTGCTGCTTTTTTAAATTACTCAAACAAATTGCGATATGATTTTTTGTTGCCATTGTAGACGGATGGTTGATACCTAAAATTTCAGTTTGTATTTTATCAACAAAATAATAAATTTCTAAAGCTTCGTTATATTTTCCTATATTGTTCAAACAGCTTGCGATATTATGTTTAGTTGCCATTGTAGATGGATGGTTGATACCTAAAATTTCAGTTCGTATTTTATCAACAGAATAATAAATTTCTAAAGCTTCGTTATATTTGCTCATATTGTTCAAACAGCGTGCGATATTATGTTTTGTTGTTATTGTAGACGGATGCTTAATACCTAAAATTTCAGTTTGTATTTTATCAACAGAATAATAAATTTCTAAGGCTTCGTTATATTTTCCCAAATCGTTCAAACAGCGTGCAATATTATGTTTTGTTGTCATTGTAGACGGATGGTTGATACCTAAAATTTCAGTTTGTATTTTATCAACAGAATAATAAATTTCTAAAGCTTCGTTATACTTTCCCATTTTGTTCAAACAAAGTGCAATATTATGTTTTGTTGTCATTATAGACGGGTGGTTGATACCTAAAATTTCAGTTTGTATTTTATCAACAGAATAATAAATTTCTAAAGCTTCGTTATATTTTCCCATATCGTTCAAACAGAGTGCAAAATTATGTTTTTTTGTCATTGTAGAGGGATGGTTGATGCCTAAAACTTCAGTTTGTATTTTATCAACAGAATAATAAATTTCTAAAGCCTCGTTATATTTTCCCATTTTGTTCAAACAGCGTGCGATATTATGTTTTGTTGTCATTGTTGACGGATGGTTTATACCTAAAATTTCAGTTTGTATTTTATCAACAGAATAATAAATTTCTAAAGCTTCGTTATATTTTCCCATATCGTTCAAACAGAGTGCGATATTATGTTTTGTTGTCATTGTAGACGGATGGTTGATACCTAAAATTTCAGTTTGTATTTTATCAACAGAATAATATATTTCTAAGGCTTCGTTATATTTTCCCATTTTGTTCAAACAGCGTGCGATATTATGTTTTGTTGTCATTGTAGACGGATGGTTGATACCTAAAATTTCAGTTTGTATTTTATCAACAGAATAATAAATTTCTAAAGCTTCGTTATGTTTTCCCATTTTGTTCAAACAGCGTGCGATATTATGTTTTGTTGTCATTGTAGACGGATGGTTGATACCTAAAATTTTAGTTTGTATTTTATCAACAGAATAATAAATTTCTAAAGCTTTGTTATATTTTCCCAAATCGTTCAAACAAAGTGCGATATTATGTTTTGTTGTCATTGGAGACGGATGGTTAATACCTAAAATTTCAGTTTGTATTTTATCAACAGAATAATAAATTTCTAAAGCTTCGTTATATTTTCCCATATCGTTCAAACAGAGTGCGATATTATGTTTTGTTGTCAGTGTAGACGGATGGTTGATGCCTAAAATTTTAGTTTTTATTTTAGCAACAGAATAATAAATTTCTAAAGCTTCGTTATATTTTCCCATTTTGTTCAAACAGATTGCGATATTATGTTTTGTTGTCATTGTAGACGGATGGTTGATACCTAAAATTTCAGTTTGTATGTTATCAACAGAATAATAAATTTCTAAAGCTTCGTTATATTTTCCCATGTCGTCTAAAATGCTTGCAATATTATGTTTTGTATCAAGCGTGATTTTATTGTTTTCACCATAAGTTTCTGAATTAAAACTTTGAACAGCTTTTAATATTTCGATTGCTTCTTCAAAAAAACCTTTACATACTAATAATTTTTGAATAGAAGTCGTCATATGATGGAAGGTTTCCGAAAATCTGTTTTTGTTAGTACGAAACATATAGATAAAATGAAAAACAAAATGATTTCTGTAATCTATGTGATCTTTTACTTCATTCAATTTAACTTTAAAATAATTTTCGATTATATCAAGATATGTATTTGTACTTGAATTTCTCTTTTGAAAACATTTACATGTTAACTGTGTCAGTTCGTGTATTGTATATTTTTTATCATCAAAACGGTTTAGTAAAGAATAACTTATTAGTAATCCAATAGCTTCATCTATTAAAGATTCGTCGTTTGTTTCCGTTTGACTTGAAATTTGTGTTATAAATTGTTTACTGATGTTTTGACAGTCGCAATGAGATAAACAGTTTAATATTTTAAATAGAAAAGGTTTAGTTTTTTCTAATTTTGTTAAAACTAAGTTGATTGCTTTTATTGCAGACTTTGATTTTTCTTCTGTGTGAAAGTTATTATTGTCTAATATTTGTAATGGTTTTGGTCTATATCGATCTATGTATTTTTCTATCGAAACTTTATGTATATTTATATATTTTATTGCCTGAGTAATTGCAAACGGATGATAACCAAGTTCTTTAATTAAATTTCTTATGCTTACGTCGCTGTTTTCTTTAATATTATTTTTTACATATGCAAATGCTTCTTCAAAAGAAAAAA